AATGAGGCCCAACGGTTCTTTGGAGTGCAGATATACAAGAATACAATTCTGAGAAGTCGGGATAACGGACGACTATACCGAATGCATCGTTCAAGTCTAAACATGGCGGAATTTGCGAAAGAAACATGTGCGCGAATAAGGACAAAGAGAAACGGCGGAGCGGGCGCGCAAGTCCACCGGACGCTTGAAATAATTGTGTAAGCATTAGTTGGGAAAGCGGCTATGAGAGCATTCTCTCATTCTTCACTTGAGGAGGAGTGAACAAAGTCGCTCACCCGTCCGTTTATAAATTTCGCCAGTTCTCGGATTCGCCAGGGTCGTAGACTGCGATTAATAGTTGAAGAGGACAGCATGCTGCACCATTACCCTCCTGGGGAAGGTGGTATTTCACACTCACAGATAATTCACTCTAGCGCCTCACCCCTCCCCCCAAGCCTCAATGCATGGCGATACCGCATCCCTGAAAACACAGTCGTAAGGAAAGCGCAAGGTCCAAAACACCGATGATCGCGCTCACTCTGTTTTTTTTACATTTACTGTTTTTTCATTTACCTCTTCAACATCGTAAAACGTTCAGAAGAAATGTAAAAAATAAAAGTTCTTACCAACTGGTCGCGGAGCCTCAGCTGTAGCTTTGAAAGCCTTCTCAAGCAGCGTCTCCGGTGTTCGTGGATCGAAATCTCCGCTAGATACCCGCTTCTCGCATTCTTTCATCAACTTTCGACTGAATTCCGATGGATCGATGCCATACTTTCGCCATCCACCGACACCGTCAGCAACTCCTAGAATGGAAACAGTTAAGAAAGAAAACCAAAGAAACGACTGGCTGCGGGTAATGCACAGGCAAGTCTTTTCAAGGCAGCTTTTCGCAGTCAGCCCAACAGACGTTTACATGGAGGTGCAGAGTGAAGAAGGCCGTCCACAACACCGGTCGTGCTCTCATTGAACGATCGAGACTATACTGTACTCTGATCAAGCAGCAGCCACGCTGCTCCGCTGATTCCGTCATGATCCACATGACTCACATGTGAAGGCTCGTGGAACATCTACCCGTCAACACCAAAACCAGAAAATCTTCGCGATTTTCGAAGGCAGAACGTTTTTAGTCATCACATTAGGATTTGCACAATTTAACCAAGTAGTAGCAGGCAGTTTAGTACCAATCCAGGTATTTTTACAATAATTCCCAACTTTCTGTAAGGCTACCGCCATGCACGTGAAGGGGAGTTTGTAAGACAACAGCCTCATTGCGAATTACATATATCAGTACTGCTGAGGCAGCTATGCTGAAATCAGAAAAGAAAATAGGGATGGAAGCAACAGTCATTAATGCCACGTCCCTTCGTTGACGACACGGCGTCCCTTCTAATCAAGGGAAAGAAGTGTTGGTCGAGTTCGACAGCACTTGAAAAGCCGATTTAAGGCTAAAAACATCAAGGGCAGCGCTCATCGCGAAGGGGAAGCGGTGTTTGATGCATCATTTGCGCTCAACACGAACGATATAGAATAATGGGTTGCTCATTGCGAAACGTGGCATGGAGAAATGAGGGGCTTGTTGCATGAAAGAGCTCTAAGGTAGGGAATATTGCCATAGCCACTAAATTAGGCTCATCTCCTGATCCACTTCCATTTTTCATCCCACAAAAATGACGAAGAACGTCTCTGCGAATGATGGCAACGTCTTGCTGAAAACCACAATTCGAGAATGTTCACTTTATCGCAGTCAAAGGCAACAGTAGCTGAACGCAGAACGATTACTCTACACACCAATGTAAAGTTTTCGCTTTGCCGATAACAAAACATCTCAATTTCGACATAAATACCACCGTATAATGAATGACGTGACGTGTTCTTTTTCAACGAAACCTCAGTCCAATAAAAACGTCTGTAACGATCTCGGAAGGTTAGCAGTAATGCAGCACTACCAGGTGACGGGTTCTGGTATAGCGCATTAACTAGCTATGAACTGCCGCGAATTAGTCCATTCACATGTGCTGATTAGGGTGTTCTGATCCAAACCTTACTGACAGGATAATCCCCCATTTGTCCCTTGTTAAAAACTCGGCGTTAAATCAGTTTTTCTTCTTTTCTGTCAAACGAGGTTACTGAACGAGCCCTTTTTGGCCAAACGTATGGTCCTTCTGTTCTTCTTAGGAAGGTCGACGTTACCACCCAAAATGCTGTCTCAGTAACGCTAACTAGGACAAAAACACATGTCACCGCCACCTTTGAAGACAGCCGCCGCGCTCAACCTATCCTTGGCGTCCTTCCTAAGTCTGGTCCCCTGTCTCTAAGGTTATGCTACCTTCTCGGCTACACAATGAGTAACCAGGGTGCTGCGACATTTGGAAGTGGTCGTCCTGACGCCTCGCTAGTTATGCCGCCGTGAAAGCCAAAAGTTATTTTCTGTCGCTAGTTCAGTTTTTACACCGTTTCTCGCTTTTTTTTCCACTGATAGATGGTATTAGCACTGCATGACGCGAAGAAACGATTAGTGAGGCAGGAGCGGCAGGATATCTTTTTGCTGGCATAAAACGAGCAGGCCCGGAGCTCTTACAGAGAGGCTGCCAGGACTTAGGATGCTCTCCATGATTTTTTTTTGTTTTTTTACTTCCCTGGAGTCATTTAGAGCCTATAGGTTTGTAACTGAACGCTGCAGTCAGCAATGTGCAACCGCGGATCTGTCTTTGATAACGCTGCTAACATAGCGCGTGAGCTACGCTCAACATTTTTTTTGTAAGACCTTCGGCCTCTCGAAAAAGAGAGGAGGTCAAAACGTGGTGGGGGGGGTGGGGAGGGGGATAAAGGCTGCATCTAATAAGCTCGTTTGTCATAAGTAAGCAGGATTTTTACCAAAATTTTGAAACTCAGGGAATGTTAAAACTATACTAGTCATTCCTTCTTAGCAATACTGGTTTCTAAGATTCAGAACTAACCGACGACAAAGGTGTTCTTAAACCGTGATATGAAACATGCATCATCTCCATATACTCCAGAGTCCAGCACTGTAGAAGGGCCTTTTTGCATGTCCTGGAAAGGATTGCTGAGTAACTGTTCTGCATTTACGGCCTTAGGTTACACATTGCAGTTTATGGCCTATTTAATCACATTGGAAAAAACGTCGCAAAACAGTGGCGAAGCAAGCAATTCGTTTACATTACCGAAACTGGTTACATATTATATCTTTGAATTCTCTGGAAAGCAAAAATCCCAAAGTATCAAAGTACCATGGGTATAACGTTTTGAGTGGAAATCAAGACCATCTAAAGTTAGAGGTGTGGAAAAAGCAAGGATGATGAAGAGTGGAAAAGTACTTATCATTACCATATGGAATGACAACGCATTGAAAAAAAGACTCGTTATTTAAAATACTGTTTTTCACGAGTGGAGGAGACGAAATCCCCCACTTGTAAGGATGACTCAAGCTGGTTGACTTAAGTTGGCATAAAAACACTGCTAAACCCTACCTTGGGAAAACCGGCACAACTAGCCACTACCGGAGGTGACGGAGGTGCAGCTGGTGCAGGGGTTTCACCTCTTGCAGTAGCAGTGCTCAAATTTCGCTTTGGAATAGGTGGGTCCGAACATGCTGTCGATATGTTAGATCCTAAAAAATATTGAATGAAAAGAAGCAATGACATTTAAATTGTAGATTTTGCCCTCTCAAATGGGCAATTCAAAAAGTAGAAGAGTAAAGAGAAGGGCAGAGGCAGATAGAAGATTAAAGAGAAGGCCAGAGGCAGATAGAAGTTTTGAAAACTTTAAAAAAACACTTGGACACTATTTACAAGCCAATAGGGTGAGCTATTTCAATCATATCGCAACTAATCCCTAGCTTAAAGACACAGTTTGCGATAACGGATAGTATGTAATGTAATGTACATACTAATAAGTAGATGAGAATGGCTTACCGGTGAAGTAGCTACAGGTGGAAACCATTAAAATGGTCCCAAATAAGGTCAGGTTGGCTTTCATCATTCGGAGAAAAGCGCTTTGTGCGTTGAAGCGAAAGACGCAGAGACACCTGGCCGCGCACGAGAAACCAGACAGCAGCGGCGAAGAGCAACACAGCCGGACCCACCGCAATCGAGAAAACGTATCCGAGCGTCATGTCATACAACCGTACGGCGATTTTAAGACCACGCGACTGAAATTCATTCACAGGCGCCAATCGTCCTTACTGCGCCATTCATGTCTAAACAGAGCCCAACGTGTCCCCCATCAGATATGGTATCGATCTTCACGATAATAAGCGAAAATAACCAGCAGTGCCCAGGTCGCCCAGGCCTTCTACCCTCTGGGAACAGTAAATTTGTCCAAGATTCGTCTGGAAGGAGAAAAACAACGGCTTGAAGATCGGCTGGCGGCTCGAACTAATGTATAGACCATATCAACGAGCCACTGCTATCCAGAATGGAAGTAGAATGCGTGCCGCATTCCAAATGGTATCGATCGACGGCTACAGTTTACCCTTCATATACTGCGCTATCGCTGTATGCCACGATGACAAGCCCCAGTGGAATGTTCCAAGCGTAATGTTGCTGTCTGGGGTGCTCATCCGGCTCAAACACTGGGCGATAGCATCGGCGTCAGCGAAGGTGGCACTTATATTAAAATCGACATTACAGCTAAAAGCCTAAGAGTGTGCAGTACAGGACATGCGATTTACATCACTGCACAAATCAGCACCCCTGGCCAGTTATCCCTGGGGTCAATTAG